TTAAGTAAAATAAAAATAAGAAACTGTTTAGGCAGCAGCCCGGTCGCGTGTGTACAAGAAACACCCTTGTAAGATAAAGCGGTTCAGATGTGTTCAGACTTCATTACAGCCAGCCCGTGGTCGTGACGCACCAGTCCAGACCAAATGTTCTCCAATGGGACAAGCAACGGGATTTGGTAATGCAACCGTCCCAAATTAACGGTAGAGGAGCATTAAAATGAAATCCTTAGCCTTAGCCTCGAGATATGCTTCCAAGAGATGGCTGCCTTTCGGCGAGGCTTTATAACAGCTGAAACACATTCTGACTTTGCGCCCCGAGTCGGTTCGTTTGGGGGGTCCTCGTAGGGACCGGGGGACGGTCGACTCGACACCCCTCATCAGCGGAGAGTTGGTTGGCGAGGGGCGGGGTCGGAGAAGGAGGGTGAGCTAGAGATGGCTAGGGGGATAGAGTGCGAGCTTGGGAGGGTATAACAGGTGAAGGGTGGGGTGCGGGTGGGAGCGAGGCAGCGAGAGAAGTTCATAACTTGGACTGAGTTGCTTGCGGAGAAGTCCGCCCCGCAAGCTCCGGTCGCACGCCCCATTTCTTTTTCCCCCGTGCCCGTCAAGCCCCACGCCTTTTTTTCCGGTGTAGTATTCTTCCTGATTAGAAAAGATTCCCGCCAACCTCTCAGTCCGCGTTTGCTGCTGCAGGATCCGCCCAATCCCGTCGAGTGAAGTTGGCTCCGCCACGCCACGCCACGCCACCACTCCTTTCGAGAGGTTATCACCAGGGAGAGCCCTTTCTAACGAACAAGTCCACCGGCTTCAATGCATAAGTGCACCAAGTGAACCGGCAGCCAGAGCAGGACAAGTGGGACAGGTGTCAAGACATTTTCATTTGTTCAATGAAATCTTTTTATCAACTCCATGGCGTTTAGTTTGACCAGAATTTCGTAAGGATAATACTCGGACTTTACATTTCTGTGATTTATGCAAAAGAATGTTTTCACCGCAGCCACACTGTAGAGACAGTCTTGGATACTATCGAAACACGGCAAGCAGAATGTATATGAACCATGCTCTGACTGTGGCCGTCCCTGAGCCCCTGCCGCGCCCCAGAACGTGGGGGTCCTGCTGGGCCTGAAGTATTCCCTGCGGCCCCAGTGGCAGCCTGTAATCACAGGTGAAAGCAGCGGCGCGACGCGAGTTACGCCTCGGACAAAGACGCATGGGGTGCGTGACGTAGGTGCGTTCTGGGGCAGCCCCGCGCGGGGCCCGCCCACCCTGGCGCCACGG